AACAACAACTGTCGAGACGCTCCGAATACCTTTGATCTACCCCAAAAGCAGGGTGCTGGCACAGGGTTTGGGACATGCCAGCAGGACAGACCGCCGCAGCAGACGGGCTCAGGGTTGGGGCTGAGCCCTGCAGCAACTGCACCCTAAACATGCTTAACTGCTCTCGTAAGCCATAAGGGCACAGGAAAATAGTTATTTCTCCAGCTGGTGCTTCCCTGCAATGCTGTCCCCCTCCGGTCGCTCCCTGTGTGCTTTGGGATGGTCCCTCTATCCCCCTCCACCTTTCCCAGGGTTTTCCTGGTGCCAGTGCGGCTCTGGCCCGTTTAGCTTAACATATTACAAGGCATTTCAGCTGAAAACATAAATTCAACTTTCATCTTCTTGCTGATGACTCACGGCTCTACCTCTCCCCTCCAGACCCCCCCTCCCCCTGCTCACGCTGCAGCTCAGCCTCACGCTGACGTTTCCACCTGACCGCGCAGGCCGCAGCCCTGCGGCTCTGGCCCGTTTAGCTTAACATATTACAAGGCATTTCAGCTGAAAACATAAATTCAACTTTCATCTTCTTGCTGATGACTCACGGCTCTACCTCTCCCCTCCAGACCCCCCCTCCCCCTGCTCACGCTGCAGCTCAGCCTCACGCTGACGTTTCCACATGAGCGCGCAGCCGGCAGCCAAACCATTGCATCGCCGAGCCACAGCTCAGCCCAGACCGAGCCCCCCCTTCACCCTTGCAGCTCCCGCCTGCGTCTCACCCGGCCACCAACCCAGACCAACACAACCCATCTGAGCTAGATCCTGACCCCTGTCTCGCTCCAGCAGATCGCTCCTTGCAAGGAGCATCCCCAGGACAAGGTGCCCCCATGCATGCATGGAGCTGGGGGTTCATCCTGGCCATGGTCACCTTGAGCCCTGATGGCTGGGACAGCCCTTCCCTGGCTCTGCCCCACGGGAACCTCACCCAGGCTGCTGCATCCCTCCTGTTCCGCAGCAGCTGCGCGTGAAATCCATGCTGGCACACTGTGAATGTTGCCTCCAACCAACCTTCCTGCCAATGCCTGGTGGGGAGCGTTTCTCAGGGCTGGGCTGAGAGCACGGTAGGTCGGTGGGACTCCCTGGTTTGAGTTGTCCCCATCCAATTTGGTGGGTAACACTTTTTGGGGTGGAAACTCCCTAATCGTGGTGGGGTTGTGCAAAGTGGTGCACCACAGATGTCTGCACCGCTAAGGGGATGCTTAGGTGCTTCTGCAATACAAATAATTAGTCACATCTCATAAGAAAGCATCCTGGTTTGGGCTAGAACCACTTCAAAATATTAAAAACCATTTCACTTTTACAAGTAGGGAGACACATGGAGTCTCCAAGTACCCAAAACCCCGACTTGGTCTCACGGTGCCGATCTCTCTTGCAGGGCGAGTGGGAGAAGCAGCCGCTTCCCAGCATCACCGAGCGGCTGCGGGAGCCCGTCCCTCGCTGCCCGCCCGCCCCGGGGCCTCAGCCTGCCGCCCCCGTCCCCCTCGCCCTGGGCAAGCTCAGGAGGGACTGACCCGATGCCCGCTCCCTCCACCACCGTGGGAAGCACCTCCAGGCAGGAACATCCGCAGGGAATGTCATCTTGCTGCTCTCCCGGCATCCCTGCCTACACAGCGATGCCAGCCGGTACCCTGGCCCCTGCCTCTGGAGGGGGTTAAGGTTTATGAGCTAGAGTTCAGAAAGTACTCTGGAGATGGAAAGTGCTATATTTAGTGCGTTATTAGCAATCCTGGCTCTGAGTAATGCTGCTTTCCGCCCCCAGAATAATAACGTGGAGGTTTGCTATTGTGTGGAACCCAGCGCGGCCCCGGGGAGGGGGGAAGAAGCCTGTTTTCCCACAGGGAAACTGAGGCACGGAGCAAAGACCTGCGTGGGAGCAGCATACAAGCCTTCCCCGTGCCCCACGGTCCTGCCCAGCTCGGGGCGGCTCCGTGGGCGCTCTCCCATGCCAGCACCCACTGCGGGGGGGGACGGAGGGAGGGAGGGATGCCACGACGCCCACCCCGCACTCGCCTCCCCGCTGCAGGGACTGCGGCTCCCCGCTGCGCTCCTCCTCCCACTCCCCCACGCTGGGGATTATCCATCTTGACGCCACCAGATGCCGATGGCCAGGAACAAATGATACCTCCGTGATGGGGTTTAGAAAGGGAAGGGATGGGGAGGAGGGACAGGAGGGGAGGAAGACAAACCTTTTAGCAGGAAAAATGACTCCATTAAATATCTAAATGTAAAAAAAAAAAAAAAAAAAAAAAAAAAAAAAAAAATTGTTTTTTGCTGTTGATTTCAAA